AACAAAAATAGAGCTTTTCTTATGAAACAGCGTTCAATTTAAGAAAGGTCCCATATAGGTATGCACCGGTATCGGTATCCATACCGAAAATACCGACTTTTTTTTCGATTTGGACTTTTTGGGATTTTTCTATCTGAAATGAGGTTTTTGGTCAGCGTCAAGGACAGTCAGAACACAAAAAGCACTTAGTTGTGCATTCTGAGTATATATAGTTAGATAGAAAATAAAGGAAAACTTTGTCCTTAGAAAGCAAAACAAACAAAGCTCACCCCTAATTTTCTCTGGGTGTCCATGACGCTGAATCATTTCGGATGGAAAAATCTGAAAAAGTCCGAATCGAAAAAAGTCGGCGCTGTTTCACTGCAAAAAATTTTAATTATATTTGTACACAAGAAAGCCAATAAATACAGAGGAAGTAAGTTTTTTTGGTCCACTCTGTATCAAAAATAAAAAATTGGAGGGAATATTGTGAAACATCAATCTCCATTAGTTTATAAATCGAAAGACACTTTTGTCAATTTTAATTTGCCACAAATAATAAAGACAGTAGTACTTATAGAAAGTTTTATAGCTCACCCAGATCAAACATTGTGACGTCACGTTTGTTATCTTAAAGTAAATTCAATCTCCTGTAACATCCGAACAGAGAAAGTTCGATAGCTCTATTTTTGTTCCTTTCGTAAGGCAAAATTTGGCCTGATTTTGGTAAAGTACCTATCCCGTACTTTAACAGTGAATGCCCAATGATTTACCGATCTCTACTAAACATTTTTAAGCGTTTAGACAACTGATTTTCTCTCAAGTAAATGTTCAAAACGTGTACAAGATTAACGGTCTGCGTTTATTACTTTCTTTTAGAAAACTGCTATAATGCCCATATCTAATCAAATTGAGTTTCATTATGTGGCACGACCAATGCCAAATACTGATGTATGTACAGTAATTGATTTTTGCTTTTGTTGTAAAACTTTGAAAAACGTTCATGTCAGAGGAGTCGTTTGCTTTCTCTTTCTAAATGCTGTTGGTTAGTGTTTCTGTTTGACTATCCTTCGGTATATTTATGAACCGTTATATCGCTTTTGTCTCAGGGCATGACAAAACCAGTGGTAACTCGAATATTTAACTCAACACGAGCTCAAAGATATCATCATAATCTTGAAAGTTTGCCGGAAATTAAATCCGTTAGGTAAGCTGATTAAAACAATTGAGCAGCATATTTGCTGCACAAACAATTTGGTTTCTCTTTGCAGTCACAGTTTGCTAACTCTGCCAAAAGTTCTCACAGCTGTTGGCTTATTTGCGGCAGTCGTCACAGTTGTCGTTGTTCCAACGGTTGTCTTGCGAAAAGGTTCAAACAAGAGTGATACATTAACCGACATAACACCTGGTAAGACAATTTACATTTACGATTGAACTAGTTATTCTCAATGCTCCATTCACAGGTTATACAGAATAGTTGTGTGTTTGCGTGTGTGTATCAGATAGCATAAAGGAGACCGTCATAAGAAAGGAGGAATAACCACGCTAGCTTTATTATACGCAAGGGCTATTGTCAACTCCGGAAGTGTCACCAGGCCAGAGCAGTGTGAAAGTGAGTTCGAAGAGTAATTTCACATAAAGGATACGTGCATGACCTCGTTGGAATCTGTTTCAGGTTTTCAAGTACTTATGTCATACGTAATGTCAATTATGTTATATTGAAAATGTTACGTTGAGTAGGTTCAGTAACACCGGTTGTTTTGTTAGTTTTCTTAACGACGTAACCCATAGAAAGAAGTGCATTTCGTAGAGCTTGAAATTCTGTATCTTTTTGATATAAAAACCATAATTTTTATACGTCGCGGCTTTGAGGATGTCCCCAAAAGTAAAGTACCGTTGCGTCGATCAAAGATGTCTCTTTCCTTTTCCCACTTTACAAAACAGTAACAAATGCACGTAGAAGAAACAACACAGACCTAGATACTCCGAAACTTATGCATTTTTTAGGCCTTGACTCAAATTTTTGTAAACACTTAAGGGAAAAAAATGCATTTCGAATTTTCCTGATTTTGCAGTTGAGTATGTGAGATTTTTGTGGATTTCAGTATTTTTAATGTTGTAAAAGAACGCGACATGCTTATTTTTAAAAGAGCATAATAATACAATATAGACACAATTCTGCCTTTCTGATACACAAAAAATTTTCTGATCAACTTTAACTACAGAAATATTTTTGCAAAGTCCCGTCGTTTTCTGTTGCTCAACCCATTACTATGGAAATTTTATTTGTGTAACTTTTCAAAAGTATTTTTTCAGCCTCACCATCAAAACCTCAGTATGAGGATCATGCCTGACCCAAATTAAAGTCCAAGGTCTATGTAGTATTGCCCCTTGGACTGCTCTTGTCCAAACTTCATAAATCATCTTCCAAACCTATATCCTCCTTCTACGAACAGACACAACTTAACAACACTAGCTACTTTACTATTACTCATCTCACAAATCGTAGGTTCCTCCTCGATAATTGGGGCCTCCACAACAGCTACTTCATCAACCACAGCGGGTTTATCAACACTGGCTGCCATGTTCGCAACCGTTCCCTCAGGCACGATAACACCCCTAACGACAACTGCTGCACCATCGACGACCGTTTCTCAATCGACCAGTGTTGCTCCATCAACCACGGTTGTTTCATCGACTACTATTGCTCCGTCGACTACTGCTGCCCTATCGACTACACCTGCTGCATCGACGACCGTTATTTCATCTACCACTGCTGCTTCGTCGACGATGGTTGCTCCTTCGGTTACTGTTGCTTCATCCACGACCGTTATTTCATCGACCACTGCTGCTGCTGCTGCTTCGACTACTGTTGCTTCATCAACGACGGTTGTTTCACCGATCACTGTTGCTCCGTCGACCACTGCTGCCCTATCGACTACGCCTGCTGCATCGACGACCGTTATTTCAACGACTACTATTGCGTCATCCACGACCGTCATTTCATCGACCATTGTTGCTCCTTCGACTACTGTAGCTTCATCGACCACCGTTGTTTCATCCATCACTGCTGCTTCATCGACGACTGTTGCTCCTTCGACTACTGTTGCTTCATCCACGACCGTCATTTCATCCACCACTGCTGCTCCATCAACCACCGTTGTTGCATCCACCACTGCTGCTTCATCGACGACCGTTATTTCATCGACCATTGTTGCTCCTTCGACTACTGTAGCTTCAGCAACCACCGTTGTTTCATCGACCACTGCTGCTCCATCAACGACCGTTATTTCATCGACCACTGTTGCTCCTTCGACTACTGCAGCTTCATCAACCACCGTTGTTTCATCGCCCATTGTTGCTCCATCAATGACTGTTATTTCGTCCACCACTGCTGCTTCATCGACGACTATTATTTCATCGAGCACTGCTGCTCCATCAATCACTGTTGTTTCATCGACGACTGCTGCTCCATCAACGACTGTTATTTCATCCACCACTGCTGCTCCATCAACGACTGTTATTTCATCCACCACTGCTGCTTCATCCACCACTGTTGTTTCATCGACGACCATTATTTCATCGACCACTGCTGCTGCATCAACAACACGTAGTATGAATTGTTCCATTTAATGGCACCTGTTAACTTTGTTCCCGGACTATGTTGCTGTAGCCTACTACGTGTTTCGCTGCATATATATATTCCAGGATTCTTGTCGGCATTTTGTTTTCTGATGCGATGATTAAGTGCATATTAATATTTAAGTCGAGGAAATGCTTTTCGAGAGATATAGTAGCATAACTCTGGGAGGAACCAAGGAGCGCTTCCGCGCCAACACACTACATTATGTTTGATGCGCATCCTCCAAGTTTCTAAACGGCTAATCTGACACACCGTTTTGAGAAACATCCTGATCAAAGATGGATATTTTCAATAATCCTACCCGCTTCAGAGTCGTGTAAACTGAAAACCAAACTAGTTATCGAACTTATACAGTATACATTAGAACCGGCGTACTTAAGTTTCATTTCAAGTATCAATAACATAATATTGGCTTACTTTTTTGACTACGTTACAGATTCAATTTCATTTATTTTTATTTTCAGCCACATCAACTTCCTCAACAACGACCACAACATCAACAAGTAATTGTAAAGCTTTCTTCTGCTACTCATCAAAAATGAGTATCAGACAGGCATCGCGATGAAATTTGAAGAATGTTTTGTGGGATAATTCTTTAACATACCTCAGGTGTTTTTTGGAAGTGATTGCGAATTAACTTTAGAATGGGAAAGGTTGAATTCTAGAGCTCGAAGCTAAAAGCTTGAAATCGTCGGCGTGTTTATTTGAACTCGCGAACTTAGAGGCAACCGTCCCAAGTGTTCCCGAGCTTTTTCGTGGAAACACACACAGGCATAGGTTATTGCTGATGCTGATTTCAAATATCATAGTTAGAGTGGCATGCGAGCCGTTGGAAATCCGGTTTTTGTAGAAAACCAGTTTTTCAGAAACTCTAGAAAATAACCAAAACCTTTCCTAATGAGACATAATTGTAGACCACAAATAATTGATTAAAATGAGACATCTCTTAGCTCTACACGACCGTTCTTTGCAAAGTTATACAATTTACAAGAAAAGTCCCAAATGTTTATTGTCAGCTCATGGCTATAGCAAAAAACGGAAAAATGACTTTAGGGCTTTTCTTGTAAATTGTATAACTTTGCAAAGAACGGTCGTGGAGCGCTAAGAGATGTCTCATTTTAATCAATTATTTGTGGTCTACAATT